GGCCACCAGAGCGGAGGGGAGGGCGGATGGGAGGCAGGGAGAGGAGGTGGCCGGCTAGACACTCGGCAAATGGGGCAGCAGGCCTGGGGACCCTGGAGGGGCGAGGCAGGGGAGGACACGAGGACCAGGACAGATCCCAGAGGCTTGCTTTTATTGTGCGGTTCTTTCCTCAATGAGATGCCAGAAGCTGTGGCGGCAACGACACTGTCACAGGGCGGGCAGGGCTGCCGGGCGGGGAGGGTGGGGGAAAGGCCGTCTCCCGAGGTCTGTCCGCTCCTGGCCTCACTCTACGGCCTGCCTCAGGCTCTCCGGAGGTCCCTGAGAGGGCAGGCCCGCGGGGCAGGGGCTGTCTGGGGGCCCAGGCACCAGCGGACAGGGGCTGGCACCGATGGGCAAGGAAAGGAAGCGCCTCCTTTAGAAAGTGGCCAAACCTGCGGCTCTGGGCTCTGGGCTCGGCCTGCCTGACTCAGCAGGTCCCAGGCAGTTCTGGAAGCTCTCGGGAGTTTGGGAGCAGCTTGTCCTCCTGTCACCCTCATTTGCTGGCTGAGGCGGTGAGGGGCAGCAGGCTCCCACTTCCAGCTTGCTTAGGGAGGGTGGAGGACCCTCACCTATCCCTTTCTCCAACCCTCCAAGACCCTGCCTCTTCATGGGGTGGCACCTGACCCACGGTCCCCAGGGGCGTCTGTGGAGGTAAGATGAGGGCTTCGTGGCTGCGGCTGACAGTGCCCCTGGATTCTCAGTCCCTTTACAACGGGACTGGACGCTGGGTGGTGCCCTCACATCTGGGACCATCCCTGCTGGGAGCGGTCTGAGCACACGCCACACCCGGGCCAGGCCCAAACGCCCCACGCCTCTCCTCACCCAGGGCTCTCCCGGGCCTCTGGTCCCTGTGGGTCAGGATGACCGCCGAGGGGCTGGTGCTTCTCCATCCCACTACCCCTCACATGCCCACACTCTCCATCCGGTCCCCTTTTCACCAACTCCCCAAGAAAAGGCAGGATATCCCTAAATAAACCAGACAGAAAGCAGCTGTGGAACGAGGTACAGACAGACAGCCAAGGGCGTGCGGGGAGGGAGGTGGCGGTGGGGAGCACGTGGGTCACGGCATGCAGCAACTGGGGTTCCTGATCACGGGGTGGGGTCCCTGCTTCTCCCCGAGGTGTGTGAGGGACTGGTGGGAGGGGGTCAGCCGACTCAGAGAAGTAGGGGCTCTGCACTGGACCTCGCGGCTTCCTATCTCCTCCATGGGCCCAGCCAGTCACAGAGCGATGAAGTCCGTGGCCTGGAGGAGGGACAGCGAGAGCAGGAGCAGCAGCAGCCAGGAAGTGCTCTGAGCCAGGAGGCTGATGCCCTCACACGTGACCAGCTTATCTGTGGAGAGAGGATGGGGTGGGGCAGTGGTCCCCAGGGGGTGAGGCAGCAGTTGGGAGACAGCGAGGGGTCATGGGGCTGCTGTCCTCTCCAGCCCAGCTTAGGGAACTGCCCATGCCTGACCCTCCCAGGTTGGCTCTCCCAGCACGCTCTGTCTCGCTGGAGACTCTCCTCACCTCTGAACACAGAGATGTTCTGGGAGGAGACGGTGGACGGCTGGCCAGAGAGGCGCAGTTCGCAGGTGTAGAGCCCCTCGTCCTTGTTGGTGAAGGCGGAGAGGTAGAGGACCTTGATGTTGTACTTGCTGGTGAAGTTGGTGCGGGAGCGGTATGTGTGCTCGGGCACGCCCATGGTGCCAAAGAGCACGTGCTTCTTCGTCTCCCGGGTCAGGCTGAACTCATACTGGATGGGCGTGGTGGTGGTGTTCTCGTGGCGGCAGTCCAGGCGGAGGCTCTGGTTCACCAGGCAGGCCGTGAGGCTGGTCACCTTCTGTCCTTGGGATACCTGCAAGACTGGCCCCCGCAGTGCCCCCTCCAAGTTGGGGTAGGGCTTCGGAGCTGGGGGCCTCCCACCCCACTGAGAGCAGAGATGGGGGTAGCCAGGGAGGGCACAGGGCCCTGCTCTCCAGTGCCTCTCCCCACCCCGGGGGTGTGCAAGGCCAGTCCAGCTTACCCCACACAGGCCCTGGGTCCCCCCCCCGCCCCGGCTGCTGGAGCCCTGGGCACCTCAGTGTGCTTAGAGGACAGATCCTGGGGTGCTGCTGCAGGTTCCCCGTCTCACTTGGAGACTCCGGCTCAGTAGTAAGGGGCAGGGCTATGTGTTCCACCCCAGCAGGCAGATGACCAGCGAGGTGATCTGACCTGCTGACTTCAGCATGAAGACCCCCCCCCAGGTCACCGCCCCCCTCAACGC